AGGTGTGTGTGTCTTGTCGTCTTCCTCGCACATATATCGCAGACCTCTCTGTGTAACAGTGCCCCAGCTCTGGGAATCATGTGGCTCTTTTACGATCCACAAGTTGTTGGTGCTCCCCTGAGGCTAATTCGACGGCAAGCAATATGCGAGCGCATCTCGTAGGAGCCCAGTCAGACCTGTCAGCCTCGGTGATGGTATCAAATCTGAACCCTTTGTCACCGCCTCCTAATTCTGTGCCTCTATCTGCGTGCGTGAGTGCGACGTACCACGACTCTCGTTCCGCGACAAGTGGCAAAAGCGTTGCAGGTATGGAGACAATAAGCGTTCCACAGGGGCAGCAACATTATGACGAGGCGTGTCTTCTTCAAGCGTTTCATCCGAATCGGCCACCACGGTGTGGCGGCACTCGCTGCAGTCGAGATCAAGCTGCAGAAGGGCACCAGTCGCTGTGGAGAAACTCTTGGCCGTAACATCGGCTCCTGGGTTGAACGAGAAACTTGTTTCTCGCAAGATTGGCCTGACCGATGTCCATTCCAATGGAGCGTTGTAGATGCAACGTTCATGCTCGGTAAAAGCTTGAACTGCAGCCAGACGAATCGGGCCCGACGAGCGCCGTTTCGAGCCTGGTTGGCACCTTCCCCTATCGAGGGAAGGCGTACGTACGTGGTGCTGCAGGTCAGTGAAGGTTGCTTGTACTGCATCGCCTGGTAGTCATCTGCCTATTCGAGGGAACCGAGGAGAGGGTTCAAGATGCTTAATGGCCCGACTCTCGATGATCTTCAATAGCATTGGGCGCCAGAGCCAAGACGATGCGCGAGCAACCCCCGGCTCCAGGACCATCCATTTCGGCTGCGATTCCATGGGCTTGACATGTGCTTGGCAGAAGCCCTACAGACCACAAGTCCCGGTGGCTCGAGTCGCGAATGTCGGTGCAAGATTGGATAAAGCATTGTTATCCGTGTCGTTCCGTTGTTTCCGCGTACCGTTTCATTCAGCTAAAGATGCGGGGCGGTCTTCTCCGCATCAGGTATTTCTGCTAATGATCAAATGCAGACACACATACCCTCGATGTATTCCTTGTGCAGTCGGTATAATTCTGCTTCGTGGAGGGGTTCCAAAGCACATGCGAGCCACACGACTTGGCCAAAAAGCCCGTACAGGCAGATGAGGCGCTCGAATATTCTCCTTCAAAACTCCTTTTAGGCATGAATTCATCACATGATTCGCACGTTTCAGCGGCTCGGTCCCCGGGTGCCAGCCACGAAACAGGCAAAGGTTTCCGGCCCAAAATGAGAAGGATAGAGTGGCCATTATGCATCCCGGTCCGATGTGCGGAGCGCCAACCTGATCTGGCCCAAGCGTCCTGTCAAAATCGAACAAGCGAGCGTGACAGGGAAGATATACTGGAAGGCTGGCCGACAGGTGGAGAAGGGGTCCTGTCACCTCTCTCTCGTTACCGTCTTGTGGGATTGACGAATCGCAACGTGCGTCTCCTTCAAGATCAAGATGCGAACCTTCCGGGGGAGGCCAGGGTGTCGACATCGAAGAGCCAACGTGCGTGCGCCCGCGATCTTGCGGTTGCCCTGCCTCGAGCACTGCCCGGGGCCTTGCAGCAGAAATGGCAAAGAGCGGCAGAGAGCAGTCCACCCGGGGGCGATTGTGCTCCCCAGGCCATTCTCTTCACCACCGTCAGCGCAGGCGAGTGACTCAGCTCCAGGCCAACCTCTCTCGAAGGGCAAGGATGTAGGCCATGGGGAGGATGATCCTCTACGAGATGACAGGGCCGCCCGTGGGGAATATCTGCCCACATCCATCGCCCAGGACGTCAGACTTTGACAGCCACGAACAAGGAGAGGCCGCGATGTACAGTGGCGTGGTTGCCTCTCGACAGGGGTGCCGTCATCGAGTTCAGCGACATCCACACATCCACCAGCCCACCCACCACCTTGCGCCCCTGGCAAGGTGAAGACACCAAGCCATCCGCCGGGCCTCGGTCTCGCCAACGTGCCGACAGCCATGCACTCAGGCTAGTCCCGTCAGCTGAAGGAATGACGGGCGATGACAGTTTCCCACCTGGGCGGCGAGTGCAGCACAACGACGTTTCAACATGCCCAGACGGTCGAGTGTCGCGAGGTTCTGAAGTAGGCCCTGGCTTGGCCTGCCAACCCACCACCCAAGCCTTGTCACAATGCGCCCGGGTACGTCGTCGTTGGTCTGCCCCGTTCTGCTCGGGCCGCATCGTCATATCCCATCTCACTCAAACATCGCCCTTTTGTGTTCACGCCACGTCATTATCAAGAAATTTTCAGGCAGGGCATCAGAAGGGAAGAAGGGTAGGATTGCCATGGTCTGTCATTTCGACGTGGACCTACTCCTTCGCTTCAATCCTTGATAAACATCCACCTCAGTCTGGCAAGTCCTGCGTGGCCCCTGTCCGCGCCCCTCTGTCCTGTCCCGGAACCCTTCAGGCCCGTCGACCCCTACAGCTCGTCTCTTCCTCTGCTTTCAATGTGACACCACACCTGGTCCTGGAAAGTTCAGGGAGACGAGGGTGGTCGGATCGGTTCGTCCTCTCGGCACAACTTGCGGAACAGGCATGTGCATCCTCAAGAATGGTCCGATCCGCCCAACTTGGCAGTTTGACAGGCAGGTCGGGCCCGATAACCACCGACACGCAAGACGGCAAAGCGAGGTGAGCTGCGCTCTGCCGGCCTAGCTGCGCCTCACTTTGACACCTGGTGTGTATGATTTTGCAGTTTTGCAGTTGCAATGGTCTCCATCGTCAGTGCGCTCCGGCGGCGGGGATTCCTCCCGTGCCGTAAATTCTCACGCTCGTTTTCTGGACCATGTCTAGGTCAGGGTCCAGGAGTATGCCATATTTGTTTATTTGCTTTGATATCCGCCGCCCGTCCCTTTTTCTCCTGTCCAGACCCTGCCGGCTTTTTGCTTCCGATACTAAAGTGCTAAAGTGCCGAAGAGGACGGCATGGGGCATTGCCTTAATTCGGGTGCTGCTTGCGAGGGCACGGTCTCTGATGTTCCTTTTTGCTACCTCTTGGCGACCTGTTATCATGATCTTGAAGACACGATGGAGAAGAGCTCGATGGCGTCGACTCTGCAGCTCAGTCGCTCGTCCACCTTCCACCCCGGTGAGATTGTGCATATTCGCCTGGAACTGGTGGCTGATGGGTTGGCTCGCTCCCTAGTCAGCCATTCGTTCTAAATCTCTACGGAGCACGCTCCGGACAGGACATGCGACAATCGCTCTACTATGGATGTCGGAGTCCACGTTCGAGGCCTGTGGCGGGGGCGAGAGCGCCACACCTGTCAATGGCAAACATGTCACCGATGATGAGCAACAATCCCTAAGTGGCAGGCCGGCCGAGAAAGGGTTGCATTTCATCCTTGCTCACCCGATGACACCCCCGAACGACGGACCAGTCGTCTTCGGCCGTCAGTCCAAGCGATATATGCAGGCCCGATCTCACGCATGTCAGAGGCATTCGCCACAGCGCCAGATCGACTCGTCACCCTGCATATGATCCATATCCCAGACCGACATTGACAACTTCTCGCAGCTATCTCTATGTGCCCGCGGGAGCCGCGCCATCTGTGGCTGTCGGTGGCAACGTAGACCACTGCGGGCCCGGGGGGGGAGGGGGGAGGTGCCGGTCCTACCCCAGACAGCCTGCTGCTTGCTTCTGCTGGAAAGCCCTGTGATTCTCCAGCCTGCCCCCCGCTTGTAGCGCCAAGAGAAAGAGCCCCTCACTCGGACGACACGGAGAGTCCCCTGACGGACGCCTTGTTTCAAGGAAGGGATGTATCGATCCCAAGATGAACAACTGCCAACGCATCACCTGCCAGACTGCCTTGCGGGTCGCACTGCTGGGTATATGTCCGTCCGTCCGTCCGTCCGTCTATCTGCTCGGAGCCGAGAGCACGGACGGCATGATTCCACCTTTTTGCTTCTTGCTCGTCTCAGGGGCATGCCGTGTAAAGACGCGAGATGCCCTTGAGAGGAGCCTCTTAGCCGTGTAGAAAGTAAGCATGAAATAGGTTGCCACGGAGCTCAATGTCTGTTTCTACTCGAGTTGCGAGTAGATGCTCGCTGTCTTTCTCCGTTTTAAGACAGATCAGACGAGTCTGCTTCGTGAGATGCGCCGCGTCAGTGGGTAGCAGATGGCAGGGCACGGTGCGTGCGTATGGTGGCTTATCTGAAGTAACGCCAGGAAAGCGAGAAAGAGAGGCAGGGCTGTGTGTTGCTGAATCTCGCTCAATAACCCACGAGGCAAAGGGGGTGCACAGCCCAGCCCGTGTCCTTTTTTTCCTTTTTGTTCTGTCGCTAATTTTCGCCAAGCACAGGAGCAGGAGGAATATCCCAGCGTATACCTCCTCGTTCGCGCATGACACCCGAACCCGGCTTTCCGTCCCGAGGCGTGGTCGCGTGCTCCTGTATCAAAGATCGGACAGAGCATGGCAGACCTCGTGTTTCCCGTCTTCCGGCGTCGCGCTTCGTCCCATCGGGGAGAGAGTCGTGACGTTTGCCGCATCGCGCTCTCCGTCCATGTGTCCCTCTGCCTTGGACTAGACTCGAGATATCTACCATTCCGTGGAGCAAACGCATTGTTTCCGTCTGATATTGATGTGGTCGTGCTCGAAGTTGTTTCCGGGACTAGGCCTCGATTCGGAAGATGCTGCGATTCGACGGCATGGATAAGTCTAAGCCTTGATTGCGGGTACTCGGAATGGTCGTGGTTGTGTATGCCGTTGTTTGATGTTTCGAGGAGCTTGATGTCACATGAAGTGTGGCGCCAAAGAGCTTCGCCTGCCGTTGAGGCATACCAAGCTAGGTGTTAGCCAAGCTGACGATGATAGAGGTCGCCATGTGCTTGGATGATGGCCCTCGGATATGAAGTCGTAGCCACGGTGATTACGTTGACCATGGTCACTGCTAGAATATTCAGAGCCGTGCAGTCTCGATATCGACCAGTTGTGATATAACTATCGTTTGTCTTTCACCTGAGGGTAAATTCACAGTGTGGAGACCGCTGATATTGAATTCGGACTTGAAAGATATCCTCGTTTACGCTCCTGCGCCCGGACTACTTGCAATGCGGAGCAGGCGACATGTGTGATGATGTTTATCCAAGTCGTATACCCATTTACGACGACGATTCCTACATACGCATATCGAGTGTATATGATATTCATGTTCTATTTGCTCATTTCCCGCTTGAGTCATCATCTGTATGAGTTGTGGCTTGTTCAAATTTAGTTGTGTAAGGCTGAATACTTGACGACATGGCAAGATGAGCGTTGTAATTATCTCCGTCACTGCATGCTGCCGTGCTGGCTCGTTGGTTTGATCGTTGTGAAAGGTGACGTCCTTTTCCTCAGAGCATTTCACTACACAGTGGAGTTTGCTTCGCCGCTGTCACTCTCAACAGCACATCTTAAGCTCTATAGAGTCTACCGTATCCTTTAGAAAGTCTCTGAAGCATTTCCAGACAGGACTTATTATGTAGGATGACTTTCAGTAATGCAGTGTCCCTGCTCGACGTCAGAGCATGGGTCGAGCAGAGTGAATGGGTCTTCCGCACCAGATCCGCAGATAAGTAGACCATAAGTTTACGGGGGGAAACATCCAAACTCTAGCCCTCCGCAGCTAGAAGGGCCCTCTACAGTTCTTACGTCCACGTTCTCGTTGTCCTAGGCCCCTGTTCCGTGGCTCCGTAGGGGCTCTGACACTCAGACCGCTGAGAAGCCTCTGAGGAATAGCAAGAGGTGTGCGTCTATCTTTATGTCAATATGCTCCTCCTATATCTTACACTGCTCAGGACGTAGGGCAATGGGTGTAACATACGTGGGACGACAAGCGCCGTAGTGATTGGCATGCGGAGCCTGTATCAACAGTCTGCTGTCCAAGGTTGCCCTGCGGATATGCATCTACAATATTGTTACTTATCGACACAGAGACCAACTCCAAGATCATGGAAGAGCTCAATGTAGGATGTAGGTGTGATACTTAGAAACCCTAGGTAAGTTGTTCTGCCTTGCAGGCCATCATAGCCCTAGTGCCTATTAGTTCTACCTACAGACATGGACGTCATCTGAGCTGCATATACCAAGTGCTCAGAGTGCGAAATGTCCCTTGCAAACATAGTGACCGTCTACAATGTCATTGATCTTCTGCAAGAAGAAATTCTCAAACATGAATGTGTTTATCAAGTTGGCAATTTGTCCTCGTCACAGCATTGTGATGCTTGCAGAGACTTGCCCGGGAAAACGACCTCATTGAAGTCTGAGTCTGAAGCTAGTAACACGTTCCAAGCCTCGCAAGACATCGATAGAATCGTTCCGTGGGCTTTACTCGGTCTCTCCGATGCTCCAATCGAAAACGAGATTTGTCTTCAGACATGGCGTTGACTTGACTGAGAAAGATTCGGTAGAAAAATGACGGTCAGAGGGGTCCGTATAGAGTCGACCATCATGATACGTATCTGTACGGCTCTTGAAGCGCAGCAAGATGATGGTTCGGCCGTCTCTTCATTCCACAACATCGGTTGTTCTGGAATATCGCCGGATCCAACATCACCTTCTCCCTCCGTTCGACAATCAATGTAAGTGAACTGGCCAATAGCACCTTGGACATGACCGTAGTAATAAGGTAAGAGTTTAAAGAATGATCTGGATATTCTCAGTTCGTATCGGGGAAGCTGTTGAGGCAATTTCCCATGACAAAGATGACGATTCACGGAGCTATGAGCCAAGTAATCCTATCAGCTCTTCATTTCCAAGTTAGAACGATGGAGCTTCATGTACTTGACCAGGCCCACATTGATGTACACTGTGCCTTGGAGCGATTTACGCCTCATTCATTACCAGTCGGAGAACAGAATCGCGGATAGGTCAGCAGGTTAATCCAGCACATATTAGGTGACACTCGGAAGCTCACTCGCCAAGGTTTGAAAGGTGGATGGAAACAACCCTGTCCCCGGGGAGCACTGAGATGAACAACTCAAGGTTTGATGAAAAACCCTGATTCCGTTTTTGAACGAGGAGAACAGGATGCATTGTCACAACGTTGGATTCTCATGTTCTACATGGAACTACGCTGAAGACTGTCTTCGTGAAAGCATGCCCCTCCGAACAAGATACCCTGCACGGCGTTGATCGGGCTTAGCGCGGGACAGCACCAGCCACGTGGCTCGGCCTGTCATTCCAGGGGGCTGGTGACTGTTCGACAGGCGACCTCAGGGGACGTGCCCACTGGGGGCCTCGGACTGTCACTATCCATCTGCCAACAATCAACCTCACTCAGCCATACCTGACCTCGAGCATCTCACCCTGCAGCTCAACAGCCAGCGGCAAGATTAAGTCGAGAAATCCAGGGACCGACCGCCATGAAGCAGAGGGTCACGTTCATCCACAAGACTGGCAGTGGCATCAACCCCGAGAGCCTCGACATCGGCCAGCATGGCATCAAGGGGCCTGACCTCGAGGCTGTGCGGGAGGACAGATTCACCTGGGGCATCGATGAACTCCCCAACGCCTTCAAAGAGCTCGCCCGCGACTCCAAAGCCTTGCATGTCCGATGGGTCAGCTCTGCAGCCTACACGACTGTGAGCCCTCTCATCTCCAGAGCATCTCCCGGCTTGCACATCTTCTACACGCCGGCCAAGGGACAGAGCGCGAATGGGTGAGTGTTCTTGGCCACAGTCAAGTCGTGGAGCGTGCTAAGAAGAACCCCAGGCAAGCGATATGCGCCGCCAAGACGAACATCTTTGGAGGAGACAGTGTGGACTTGTGCCAGGACAATGACGTGAGTTCCATCGTGATGGCTTCATCGTCAGCGTATCTGACGCCGAGTTAGACCTTCGTCCAGTGGTCCACAGCCACGCACCCACAAGCTCCTGCGCTTCAGTACTATGAGTTGATAGAGGATATTGCTCCTTTTGTCGACTTCATTGCCCAGCACTGCGCGCCGTCGGACGCTGCGTGCACATCCAGGGCGAGCACCTTGAGCACTGCCGCCACCATCGACATATCATGGGACACGACCTCGGCGTCCCTCAAAGTGACCGCACAGTGGCCTCATGGGTCCCAGCCGCTCTCTGTCGCGTCGACGCCGGGCCACCGCACCGAGGTAGGCATCCTCGGCCTCGACCCCTCGGCACAGGCCGAAGCGCACGAGCTCGGCATCTCTGGCGCCCTGACCGTCCTCGACACGGGAAAGGGTCCATCACCCGTCATGTTCGCCTTTCCGACGCGGCACCGCCAATCCGGCGACAGCTTTACATCCGGCTTTCTCCCGCCGACAGCCTGCATCCGACGCTGCAGCTCTCCCTGACCGGCTCCCAGCCGCCCGCGGACCAGGAGGAGGGCAGCTGCACGCTCAACGCCTACTTCACGCTGCCCAAGACCATCTTTGCAGACCGCTACCAGCTCTCGGACGACCTCTTCCTGGCGTCCAAGAACCTCACGGCGCTGCGCCACTCGACGTCGCCCGTCGACCTCGAGGCCCCGGCCTACGCTACCCAAGTCTGGGGCTCCAGCATCCTGCTCGAGCTCGCGCCGCCTGCACGGGCCGCGGCCTGGACGGCAGAGGTGCCGCTGCACCTGCGCTACCTGGCGCCGAACACGGAGGGGTACGCCGACATTGGCGTGCCGTACCCGGCCGTGTTCTGGGCATGTGATGTCGGCGAAGGCGTCGAGTTCCCGAGCACGCCTTTCGAGCGGGCCAATCTGGGGTACGACGCCTTGTTCGGGCCCAAGACTGTGTTCTGGCACGTAGAGCCGAAACCGCGCGCTGGCAACCGGCTGCTGAGCGATGTGAGGGTGCCTGTGCTCGACGCGGATGATGCGCCGTGGGTGCGTGTCGGCACGGCGGCGGCCGTCGTGCTGGGCTTCGGATGGGTGCTCTGGGTGCTTGTGCGGGCGTTCCTCACGACGGGGCACAGCCGACAGACGGTGAGCCCCAAGAAGACGCAGTGATGGCGGCGATTTGCTCACATCACCATGTCATGAGGGATAGGGGGGGGGGGGTTGTCTCGTCGTTCTGGCTCGAACGTGAGGGCTCACATGCCGGATTAGCCGGACTTACCTAATCCTGAATCGAACCACATCCATCCTGCGCTTCTCCCTCGAACGTCCGCTCACGTCTGTCTCACACGTTCCACCGGCTCCCACTCATTCTTTTGGGGGGGTTCCTTTGTCCAGGAACATTTGTCCAGGAAACAATGATCTCCTACCTCGCCGGCCTCGTGGCCTTTCTGCTCTTCGCCCTCGGCCCGCTGACGCAGTGGCTCTCCCGGCCCGCCGTCATCGTCGTACGCCCCGCGGCCCTTCCTCAACACGTCCCACCTCGCCCTCGACGACGCCGACGCGCCGGCCCCTGACTGCGCGCCGGACGCCTACGCGGTGCACATTTACTCTCGCCAGCCGCTGGTTCTCTATCTCGAGGGGTTCCTCACCGAGGAGGAGCGCGCCCACATGTTGGAGGAGAGGTGGGTGGCCGTTCCGTTTCTCGTTTCCGTTTCTCGTTTCCGTTTCTCGTTTCCGTTTCTCGTTTCCGTTTCTCGTTTCCGTTTCTCGTTTCTGTCCGCTTCTCTTGAGCCCCTTCTCGATCTCCTCGTTCATTTTCTCGCATGAAGATGTCATGACCAAACTGGTTCAGGAAGAAAGGAGAAGAAGAAGAAGAAGAGAAGAAAAAGGGGGAAAAAAAGAAGAAGAGAAGAGGAAGAAGAGAAGAGGAAGAAGAGAAGAAGAGAAGAAGCAGAAAACTAACCAAGCCAGTGAACCCCTCTGGACCCCCTCCCAGACAGCCAACGGCGCCACGACGGCCCACCACGCAGCGGTATGCGTCCGGCGGCCACCTACCGCCACACTTTGACTGGGCGTCGAGCGGCGGCGGGTGGAGCCGCGTCAGCAGCGTCATGGCCTGGGTTCGCGGGCGAGGGGGTCGTTGGCGGGGGCACCGCGTTTCCGCGGCTCGCGGCGCGGCGCGGGTCTTGGTGTCGGTTTGTCGAGTGTGAGGGCGATGGCGAGGGCGAGGGCGAGGGCGAGGACGAGGAGGGTGCAGCGGACGGAGAGACGCAGGCGGCGAGGAAAGAGGGCGTCGTGTTCAAGGTGATCCCCGGCAATGCTGTGTACTGGGAGAACTTTCGGCCGGACGGGAGCAGGCGGGGTTGGGACGAGTCGTGGCACGCCGGACTGCCCGTGAAAGAGGGCGTCAAGGTTGGACTCAACATCTGGAGCTGGGGACGGATAGAATAGGCATGTTGTGTCTGTCGGGGTTTCTTTTTTTCAAATCCCAGCGAAAGGCAAGCTACAGCATCCGTTCATACACTTGGCGGACTTTCATCTGGAGTCACAATGAAGGCAACAGAACAGATTGAACCTAAGGCGGCACCCATCCCAGCTCCTCTATCGGCCACTGCACCCACAGCCTGTGCTCCTGATCTAGCTTCTCCCACACTTTGCCCATGAGATGGGTCGACCAGCCCTCGAGCCACCACTGGTCCTCGACCTTCTTAATGAGGATGAGAAAATGGGCGAAGATGGCGACGGCCTCCTGCGCCGGATTGGCCCCCTGCAGCAGCGGCAGGAAATCCCTGGCGACCTGCCACTTCCACATGATGACGTCCCAGCCCTCGAGGCGGACGGCGGGTCCCATGGCGCTGTCGCCGTTGGCCACGAGCAGCGTCAGCACGCGGCGCAGGTGCTCGATGGCAAAGCTATACGTGTTGAGCAGGTCCGGGTCCGTGACGGCCTTGGTGACGAGGGCGCTGAGCTTCGCCGAGGAGCGGCGGGCCGGGGAGCTGCTGCTCCCAACTGTTGACGACGGGCCAAGCGCTCGCGGCCGAGGGCGAAGACGGGGCTCAGGGGCCCCGTGTAGTTGTGGGGGTCGAGGCGCTCAATGATGGGCTCGTGGCTGCGCAGCAGGAAGATCCAGTTGGGGAAGGCGCCCTGGCCCATGAGGAGGGAGTCGTCGGAGGACTTGCGCGGGGAGCCGAGGGCGTAGAAGAGGGTGAGGAGGCAGAAGAGATGGAGGTGCTCGCAGTCCTCCTTGTGGAGGTCGCCGCCCATGAGGGCAATGGCGACGCGGGCCCCGACCTGGTGGTGCTGCATGGCCTTGGTGACGTAAAAGTCGGCGCGCGCCTGGCGATAGTGGGAGAGGTGGAGCGCCGAGACGGCGAGGACGGTGTGCATGATGTATTCGCAGTCGAGGGCCATGCGGATGACCGTCGTCTTCATCATCTGCCGCACCTGCGGATCGGAGCCGAGGGTGGCATAGGTGAAGGTCGTGAAGTTGTGGATGAGCTCAAGGTCGACCATGTTGAGGTCTGTGAAGGTCGACAGGCCGTTGCCAGGGTTGCCGGCAAAGTCGAACGACGATGGCGACCGCGGCGCCGACGTCGACGTTGCATGGGTCTGGAGAAAGTCGCAGGCCACGGCATGTTTGATGCAGTTGCGGCAGGACGGTTTGTGTTCGTCGCACTACTTGTGTTAGTGTCTAGACTCGAAAGAAGGGTCAAAAGAAGATCAAAGAGAAGAAGTCGTCGCAAAGCTATGAGGTGCCAAGTCAACAAGACAAGGTCACCAACCCATCCCACGATGCCCTCCACCCGAGATACCCGAGTCTCCCGACAGGCCATCGCCCCCACCGTTCTATCAAATGCAAACCGCTGCAGCCAAGCCACGCCAAGCCAGGCAAAGGATAAAGGAACAACTGCAAGAGATAGAGAGAGAGAGAGAGAGAAAAAACACCCACCTTGATCTTCCTCTTCTTGCAGGTCCGACATCCTGTCCTCGACTTGGGATGCGATCGCCTCGACACGACTGTGCCCGAAGCCGGCGTGCCTGCGCCTCTGCCCGTGGAGCCACCACCACCACCACCACCGCTGCCCGCTGGGCCGCTGCCGCCGGCTTCCAGATCCAGATCCAGCTCCATGTCCACGTCGGCCTCAGCAGGTCCCGTCTCGGCCCCCGTCGCGCCCAGCCTCGAGCTCCCGCGCGAAGCGGCCGGCGTGCCCGGCATGATGGGCGTCGCCGAGCCGGCTGACGGACTGGGCGACATGACTGCTCCTCAAAGAAGAAGAAAAATCCCCTCGGGCCTCCTGTGGTTGTGCTGCTTGTGGTGTCGGTGGGTGACACACCCCTCGAGGCTGCTTTGGCCGTCCCACCCTGGAGAGCCAGTGACAACAGCGAGAATAAAGGCGTCACCAAACGCAGAAGAAGCCCTGATCCGGCGCGAGAGGAAAGCCGTGGGGAGGAAACCACCCGTTGACGAATCAAGTGGTTTTGCCTTTGATGAGATTGTTCGATGCAGTGAAGGGGAAACGAGAATGAGAGAGCAGTGCAACAGCAGCATTCGCCATCGGCAGCCAGCAGAGCAGGCGCGATACAGGTAGGTAGGTAGGTACAAGTGCTGGGGAACCCGGGTGTTACGAGCGGACACCTCGTATTTCACCTCGTTTGGCTGGCCGCTTGTGCTGGAGACCTCGCGTTTTTCCCGAACCACACCACACCAATCGCTCGGCTTCCTCCAGCCCGGCCCCGCACCAGCCCTCCACCGTCGTCGGGCCTCGTCTTCCTCGTCGTCCGTGTCTTCGTCGTCGTTCGTCTTGTAGGAGGCCCAACACAGAGCCTACGCGTCATATCCTGCTGCGTGCTCCACGCTACGTGCACCTTGGTCCCGTCGTGTAACGATCCAACTAATCACGGCCCGCGAAACCCCCCGGCAGACATGGCAGGATCGGGGGCCACAGGGCTGATTCCACAGCACTGTCTGCCTTTCTGCCTTTCTGCCCTTCCTATCCTTCCCATCACACTACACGAGCGAGAGTGTCGCCGAGCATCATGCCGACCTCGTCATTCCATACTATGAATCATTCCGCTTCATTGAGCACTCCTATGAACTCGTTCCCTTGCCCAAGGCCAATCGCTCGCTTGCAGCAGTGCCCCCTCTGTCGAGAGACCTGCCCCTTATGCACACTCGTCCGCGCAGACCACAGACCACAGACCGGGACCATAACCACGACCACGACCACGACCGTGACCGCCACCATAGCCGCCGCGACCCCGGTCGTCGTCCGTCCTGTCCGTTGTCCCGTCGCTGTTCGGCATAAAACCACGCGCCGTGTTCGGGCTTGGCGCCTTGCCGTTTCTACCGATTACCCGTCGCCGTGACGTCGGCGAAAACCCCTTTCTCTGCTTCTCAGCGCTTCTTGTCCTTGTCCTTGTCCTTGTCTCCCTCTCTCTCTCCTCTGCTCCTCCTGTCATGGAGCGTCTTCTCCCCCTTCAACCACCTCCGTAGATCCACGAAACGCCCGACTTGGTCATCTAGTAAGTAATTTCGTCACGCAATCCCGCCGTCATCCAAACCAATTCAGGGGCCCCCAAGTAAAACAACGGTCACGGCCATGACCATCATCATCTTCTCCGCTCTGTGCCCGTCTGCCGCCGGTCGCCGCCTTTATTTGGCCGTCTTCTTGAAGGCGAGGAGATCCGCGAGGCTCTGACAGAGGGCATCCGTGCTTGAGGAAATCGTGCAGCAGCAGCTCCTCCGCCGAAGCACGGCTCATGACGTCCACGCACAAGCATACCGACAGGAAGGCCTTGAGCTCCTTGCTCAGCTTCTCCGGCTTCTTGAGACGCGGCGTACCGTTCGTCGCGATGAGATACAGCGCCTTGAGCGGGCTCTTCGTTGAGGTACGGCGGCTCCGACTCGATCATCTCGATGGCCATGATGCCTAGCGACCAGATATCCACCTTGGGGCCGTACTCCTTCTGCTTGACCACCTCAGGTGCCATCCAGTACGGCGTGCCGACCATGGTCGCACGCTTCGACTTGCTTTCTGTGAGCTTGGCGCAGAAGCCAAAGTCGGCTACATTGATCGCGGTCAGTAATCTGCCATTGCTCCGCGAGGGGCAGAGAAAGGGGTCTGTATGAACTCACTAATCTTCACGTTACCACGGGCGTCCAAAAGCACGTTGTCACTCTTGATATCACGGTGAATAATGTTCTGCGAGTGAAGGTGCTGAAGGCCACGGCACGTCTGAACTGGTCAGCTGCGTTCCCTCCCGAATCAAAATGGCATCGTCTTACCTCAAGGCAGATGGTCGAAATCTGCTCCTCGCTGATGCTCGTATTGCCGTCAATCACATCCGTGAGGGCACCGCCCCTCCATAAATTCCATGACAACCCACAGCTCCGAATTGTTGTTGCGTAGAAACGCGTCCAGGAAGTTGACAATGTTGCGGTGTCGGCTGTCCTTCATGACCATAATCTCGTTGACAATGAGCTCCTTCCTCGGCTGGTGTGCGAGGTCCATTTGCTTAATGGCGACTTGGGCCTTGAGACCTTGCGACCGCAAAAGTTCACGGGCAATAGGCGATTGGGCCGTCTCCTTGACCTTGGCGACATAGACGGATCCTGAGGCACCCTGGCCAATCTTCTTCTGCTTCGAGTACGACAGGTTGGGGTCATCCTTAGAAACAGCCTCTTTGAGCTTGGCCATCACCTCACCCTCGGACATGGTGGACATGCGCACGTCCTGCTTGCGCTCGGATGCCGGGGGCTTTGCAGACAAGGCCGCCTCGGCAGCCTTGACGCCGTCCGACGGCTGGGGCGCTGGAGCCTTGTTGACGTTCAAGGGCTTCACAGGCGCGGGGAGGCGTGACGGAGCCTGGGCCTGGCTGGGGCCGTTCTGCCGGGGCTGCGAGGCTGAGCTGCCGTTCGGGTAACGCTGTTGGTTCGGGTCAGGCCGCGGCGGCGCTCGTTGGGCCTGGTTGGGATCTCGCAGAGAGCTGGAGCTCTGCTGCGAGCTGAGGGGCGGCCGTGTGGAGCCGGCCGTGGGGGGAGAGGGGGCGGGACGCTGTGCACGCAGGCTGCCGACCTGCTGGTTGCTGGCTTTCGGCGCCGGCGGTGCGGCTCTGGAAGGGTTGTACCGATCCGCCGGAGACGGGGAGGAAGAGCCACCACCTCCGTAGCCGCCGAGCTCTTGCTGGGCCATCGGGACCTTGGTCTTGGGGATGGCTGCGTTGTAGGCTTCCAGATCACGACGGTTAGCCTCGTCAATCTCACGCTGCCGGTGTGCTTCCATCTGCCGCATGCGCTGGGCATCTCGGTC